GTTCGACTTTAGAAAAGGAAAGCACTTTATTTTCATCACACAAGATTTATTTCTGAATCATCGGAAGATTTGCTTTGATAGAAGTTCGCTAGATCTCTCTCTGATCTTACCATTTGATTCCTATCCGAATTCAGATCAATACAACTCTTCTATTGAAATGGAATAATATTTTACGTAAATATTAGACAGCATAGAGATTTTTCTATTTTATTTTGGCAGATCTACTTCTAACAAAAGATTCTATGTAAGCCCCATTTCTGTTAAAAATAATAAACATCAATTCATGCAAAATAAACGTAAGCAGCAATGTTTACGTAGCCATGATTCATAATTTGGATTTACGCATAAATTTCGATGAGTAACAAATTGAATTGTAAATATTTTGGGCATCGAAGAAATGATTGAATTTGAAATAAAGTTGAAGGAATCTGAAGCTGAAAGTCGCAAAATCGAACAGCAGCCCATCGCATGGCTGGCCCAGGCCTAATTGGGGGTATAAACGTTTCAAATGCCAACAGCAGCCCTTGTCAGTGTGCTTTATTTCAATCCAAAGGTAACACATTAGCATTCACAATTACTTAGCCAGGCCACCCTCGTGTCGTGGTTACGCGAGCCACAATTCCCGGAGAGGCCAGTGAAGGGGTATTTTTTAATGAGAGTCCTGGCCGAGTCGGTATGCCAACACTTGACAAGTGCACCAGGAAAATTACAGGCAAACACAAACCCAAGTATCGTTCGTATGTGTACACAATTATCTTCGTTCCACATAAATGTGCCACATTGTTGCCGAATGGATTAGCCAAATGGGCGAGAAGTTTCCGGGGCCGATTGCGTGGAATGACGTGAATTTTGACAGATGGTAATTTTCAATTTTTTGTCTTTTGATCTGACAATTTGTGTTCGAAATTTAAAAGTGTTTTCTCTTGTTGTCGTTTGTCCGCCTCACTGCGCTCTATTTGACAAATAGCCAATTTTAAATTGATACAAAACGAGTACAAGACAAATTAAGGGATTCAAAAATTCAAAAGGCTTGTCACAATATTTGGCACTGATCCGACAGATTACCCTAAGTCCAACTGAGCCTGGCAACTGAACAACGAGTTCTGGACAAGTGTAAAGCTCAAGTAATAGTCGATAAGTAGAGCCCATAATTTTATATTTGTCCGACTGTTTGATACCCTGTTTTGTCTATTAAGCATAAGGTGAAAGTACTCGGACTTGAGTTCCAGGCAAGTCTAAGGCTCTAGCATAAATATACCCCTGCTTGTGCTTGAATCGTGTGCCTGTCACGCAAATTTATCCGACTAATTGATATCCTGTTTTGCATATAAACCATAAGGTATGATTACATGGGCTTGAGTGCCAGACCTCTAGTAATAGTTGACATAGAAAATTTTCCTCTGCTCTGGCAGGAATTGCATCGAATTATAGGCATATTAGTCCGACTGTTTGATACCCTGCTTGGCCTATTAAACATAAGGTACGAGTATTCGGACTTGAGTTTCAGATAAGTGTAAGGTTCTTGAATAAATGCCATAATTTCATAGAAAATATACCCCTGCCCATTTGGTCGTTGTGCATATTAGTTCGACTGTTTTATACACTGCTTTGCATATTAACCATAAGGCACATTAAATAAACATATCCATTGGCCAGACCGAATGGCAATCATATTGATAACTCCCTTAGCGCAAATTACGGGTTACCACATGTTGGTACGATTTTCGGGTTGGAATAAACCGACCACGAGGGGCGATACGTTTTTTACGCCGTCCGGGGGGTGTGCCACGGCGATGGGGAGAGATTCGCGTAACAAGAAATTGTCACGTAGCCCTCACTTAGTGACACGGATAGGCAACGGCTCGGCGTCGGGAGAGCGTTTTTTAGCACGCGCTCGCTTCGCCAAATGCGAAGGCGGACACCATGCCACACGCTTCTTCTTCTTCTTCGTCATCGCTGGAGTGTCAGGGAAAATTGTAATTACAATTTGATGTTGCAAGCAACCACTGGGCAAAACGGGTGTACTACATCTTGCCCAATTCTGCCGAGCTGGGGTGGCCGGTGGTTAAGCGAGCGTGTAATTCACAATTTGCTCTGGTTGCCCACGTTCGCAGCCGACAAATGTTTTAATTATGGTTTACTTTACATTTGCAATTTAAGTGAAATGCCAAAGAAAGCTCCTAATTGTCTTTATGTCCATTTAGCCGGAGGACAACTGCAACAATCCGAGCAAAACAACTTATTATTCCGCTTCTAAATTTGAATCAATAACTTACGAATTTTATATTTATTTCAATGGTAAATGCATTGACAAGCACATAATTCGAGCTGAACGGGAATCGGGTCCAACTGACTGCGCAATACTCTGTTCAGTAACAGCTGACAGTAGACGAGAAGTCTTCTTGTTGATTGAAATATTGCCTTTAAGCTCTTTGGCTTGATTTTCGGAAGAACTCTTCAGACATATACCATACAATCTGACAAGTAAGAGTGCTCAACTTGAAGATGCCCTGTAACATATAAACAAAATATACATGGCATAGCACGTGTGCTTCCTCTTCTCTCTGCTAGTTAAATAATAACTATACAGCTTATAGTCTATCCTTTATATTGGATCCCTATTCTAGTATCTTGAGGTTGAACCTAGAAAAACTAACAATTAACAAATATTCATATTCTGTTTAATCGAATGCATATATTTTAACCTGCTTGGTACCTAGGGTACTCGAAAACACTATCCATTGAATTCGAAAGCTACAACAAAAAAGTCTTTAGCTCTAATAGACCCTGAGAACGACAGACTGACGAAACTAACTCGATCGCCTCTGACTAAATATGTATATACCTGTTGGGGCCAATAAATATTATTTATTTATTCTACTCTTCATATCTTAAAAATCAAAAATATTTCACACATAAGCCAATATTTCGACCAATTAATTTCATAGAGATGAGATAGTACCCAAACATACATCTCGTAAATGCCAAACTTAATAAAGATATATCGAAGAAGTTAAAAATATTAATACATACACTTAATTTAAGCCCAATCTTATTGCTGCTGTATGCTCAATCTGAACGATTCCGTATTTTATGCACTGTCTGAAACAAAAAGTTGAGAAGCTGAGACAATTCTACTTACAATCAGACAGACAGCTAGACGGACATGATCCTGTCAATTGGGCTTTGCATATATATACATATCAGGAATATAGACCATAATGATTCAAAGATATAGCTCTGTATCCCGAGGACAATGGGTAGTTTCCCAGTTATAATAATAATGGTTTTGCAATTCAAAGTGGCTCCACATTATTTCAAGGTAGACCAATTCATAATTAGATCGTTTTCCGTTGAGTTACTTTTAAGCATAATTATTTTAGTTATATTTTTTAGATGTTTTAAGTTATTTTCAACATTGGATTCAGCTACTTTTTTTTAGCGATAATTGGCAGCACTGGTCTATAACAATATTTGTATCTGCATTAGGCGCGATTTCGTTTTGCAAAAAAATGGGACCAGGCCGTTCGAATAGTTGATTTATGCTGAATTGGTCAGCCTGTTAAAACGGCTGATTTGAAATGGTTCGTACCAAAACTAATGTTGTTACATCTGAAAAGCGCCATCCTGCGGATCATGGTTATATTATGATTAGGCGTGTGTCTCTACTTTGTATTATTTCTGTCAGTTAAATTTAAAATTTCTTAGTAATGCATATCTAAGTGCGTTTTGTTATTGACAAAAACGCGAAACAATTGGTCATTTGTTTGTAAAAAAACGCTTCAGTAATTTTCTCCGTATTCATTTTGATTTCAACGTTTTTGACAAAACCTTGGGTTAAGAAAACCCAATCAAGCCATAATATGGGAGTTACAATAAAAGGATTTACTTTGTTTTTAAGCTTTTTACTTTCCAATTATGTTCAATATTAGTGGTTTTTTTTAACATTGATGTTTGTTTTCACATAAAATCGTATTATATGTTTTCAATTAAGTTTGCCACCGGGCATTCATATTGGTAGAGCTGCCACGTGCATCACATCAATACATTCTGTAAGCTGCTGATATCGTAAGATAGTTTATATATCGTAAATGTTAAATAGTTATACCGCAGCTATATATGTAATAATCGTCTTAAGCATCTACTACAATTTCAAATTGGATTAGTTTTTATTTATTAAATAATTTATTTATGTTTTCATACAATTCGTATTTACCAAATATTTGAATATTTTTGTTTTTGAGATGGAATTTAACTGCGACCCTCAAAATATTCTAAGGAATTTACTTTTCGTTAATATATACTCATATTAATTGTTTGGAATATATGTTATTTTTACTAAGAATGTTTTTTTTTTGTTTTCATTTTCATTTGTATGCTTATAATTTGATTTGAAATTTAAATTCAAAAACTACTAACGATTTGAATGCTTCGTTTAATTATAATATATATTTTTTCAATCCATATTCAATTCTGATGCGGGCGCATCGTCGCCATCGAAATCTCTTTACTTATGTTTATTAAAAGATACTTTTAAATATTTTTTTTGTAGTCAATGTCAAAATTGTAAGATTTCTAATCGCCGTCAATTGACAATTTGTTGTCTAACTCAGAATACGCCTAAACAAACAACTTAATAACTTAGACTCGTTAAACAATTTCGATAAACTTGTGTTTATAATAATATCATTATTGCAACATAATAAAATAAATTGAAACAAGCATTGCTAATAATATTATTGTTTGCCTTTGCGAGTTAAATTAAATTAAGCAAAAAAAAAAAAAAGAACAACAAACTTGTTTTAACTATTATAACATTCTAATAACATATCCAATTCCGAATATTTCGCTTTGTTTAGTTTAGCTTCATTTTTAAAATGGTGCAAATCGGAAAGTTTTTGTTTAAGTTGAGTTAATTTGCGTTTTGTGTTTTTCGCTATAATTATATGTATATATGTAGTTATATTAAATTACTTGTTTTAAACTGAAAAAGCATTTTATAAGTTGCATATGCGTTAATAGATTTTTATTTGTTATGCTTTTATAGATCTGTGTCCTTATCGCAAGTCGGGATCCTCGTCGGCGGCCTTCTTAATTCTCAGCAATATTGTTGTGTACCACTGATCCAAGCGTGAGATGCTGTCATAGTCCTTGACTGCCTCTGTGAAGCCTTCAATATTCTGCTCCTCCAGATGCTCGCACAAAACCTGTAAAAAAGCGTGCACATATTTAGCCAAAAGGTAACTCAATTGGAGAGAGAACATGCAGCGTGTACCTTGATGAGCTTGAACTCTCGTGAATCTTGGAATGCCGGATATTGTTGCGCATACTTTTCGATTGCGTGTTGCGCATTCAACAAATCAACACTCAGGTGGCAAAGAGCGGCCCGAAAGAAATACTCCTTGGCGCTATATTTGAGCAGCGAACTCTCGAGCGAGGAGGCAGCGACCTGCTCGTATATCGATATTGCTTTTTCATAATCCTCCAGCTGGGCAGCGTATTGGGCAACCTTCAGCATGCACTTGTTGGCCGAGCTCACCGACTCCTCGCCCTTGAAGTAATCTGCCGCCTGCTCATAATGCTGTACAGCCTTGGCCTTCACATGAGAGCGAACACAAATTTAAAATATTTATAGAGCGAACTTAACATGAATCGGTATGTAAAGTCGTCTCTTACCAGGGTTGCCGGATCGCTTTCATACATCTCTGCAATGCTCTGATGATGCTTGGCTGCCATTGTGAAGCGTCCCATGTCGGTGTAAATGTCTATGGACTTCATCAGACAGTTGACTGCGCTCTCGACGTCCACCTTCTTGTAGCAGTTGGAGGCGTCTACGTAGCAGGTGCCCGCATCGTGACGACTGCCGGCGCGTCCGTGCAGCGTGGCTGCCTCGCAAAAGCATTCGCCAGCCTTAGTCCAGTTCTTGGACATTTTGAACATGTTGCCAGCTCGCGAATAACATTCGATGGCATCCTCGACCTTGTTGGAGCCACTGTAACGATGAAATTGGGATATTTAACATTTTTTCACCATGCCACAAGAAGATCGCAAATCAATTGGTAAGCTTTAAAAAAATTACATTATTCAGCTTGCAACGAATGTTTATCAAGTTTATCAGTTGAACCCCCTTTTATTAGCTTATCACTTTTGTGTAAAATTGTTTTTGCAATTACTTTGAGTTCGTTCAGGGCCTTCTTCCAAAGGTTAGTTTCCCATTAAAAATACTCTCGAAAAGGAGTGCAAATATGCGTAGCTATAAAGGGTATTTTTTTTCTAGTATTTATATGCAGCATTAACTTATAAATGCATAATACTTATTTATATATGACGTATGTATATATGGCGCATGCATTACAACTTTCCCCTTTAACTACGTAAATAAAATATGTATGTAGCCATATATATTCATACATTTATATATATATAATTATATATGCATATGTATATGTGTGTACATGCTTGAAAATACATGAAGAGATTGGAATATCGACAGAAGAATCTATCGGATGATTTAAACATTTAAAATAGTTATAACAAAACTCGTTGCTAGCACACAAATTACTCACCCAAAAAGTGAGCCGAGAAAACCTTTTTGTTGTGTCAGCTTCTTTTCCGCCTCAGCCATAAGCTGAAGGGCCTTTTGCTCATTGTCTCCCATAATTGCACTTGTGGCCTTTTTGTTCACCAAATTGCATTTAGATGACTATTCGGTGGCTTTTTAATATGTTTCCCACAACTTTGTCTTGGACTTTTCTGAAAATAAAATCAATACGAATATGCTGAAGTGTGACCAAAGTTCTATTCTCAAACATGATAATTTTTTCCCCAATGTTACTGAATATACTAAACTATATATTCCAGTATTTTGTTCCATTGAAATGATAGGCAAAGGAATCTTATATAGCCAAAAATAAGTACTTACTTACATTTCGAGCATAATTGGTTAAGACCAACAAAATTATTTCTTATTAATAACACTCCTGTCAGCTGTTTAAAAATGCAGGTGAATTCGCATTTCGATAACTCGAATCGATAACCAATATGTATCTCTGTGCAAGATATCGAAATGCCGATAATAATCGTTAGGAAATCAAAACATTTTATATGATTTTGATAATGTTAAAATCTTTATTAGATTGTATATTTATATCTTTAAAACATGGAAACATATATATAATTGCGTGTGAGAGTCGCCCAAATTTTTGCGATTGACAAGTTACAAACGGAAATAGCTAACCGAAAACAAAAAAGAATCTTTAACTTAATCAATAAACAAGCGGGTAAATTTAAACAGCAACTTAAATTTGGAATATTATGGTGCAAAGAGAGGATTTTCTTAAGTTAAGCCTGCGCGCTGTATGTAGAGTTAATGAATTCGGTTTAACTAAACATAAACGTAACGATAATGAATGAAATCAGCCGGCTGTAGTATTCGTATCTTGTGCTCAAACAAACATTTTCTCGAGCATTTTTCTCAGCTTCTCATGAGCGTAACGTATCTTCTGATATAGATCCTTGGAAACTCCACTTTGTGCAATAGTTGAGAATCTATATGTCCGGAAGTTCTTCTCATGGTCCATATAGGTGATGGCACTCATGCGTGGGCATAAAATAATCTTCATATGATCCGAAAAATTAAGCTAAACAACAAAACAAGAAATAAATAATCAAAAAATTGCACTAGTATCTGCAGTTATTCAACTCGTACCTGGACAGAACCGTTGGTTAGGTGCATGACCACCGCACACGTTGTGCGGAACCAGGAATGCAGATGGGGCATACGCGAAATTTGATCGCTCTCAACGGTAACATTATTAGCGCCTGCCTTTACTAGATGCTCTGTCATGTATCGCTTAAAATATGACAGCAGCTTCATCTTTTTATCCAGTGTCTTGCAGTAATCAGTCGTGGTCATATAGGTTTCTTTGCCCTCCTTATCAATAAAGTGCACGTTTATTTGATTCGGAAGCAGAATGAGCTTTGTGGTGTCATTGAACATAACTCCGATGCCCTCATCACACAGTTGATAGCCAAATCCGTATTTGTCGCTATAGTCGACCCACTTTGATATCCAAAATAGCGGCTGGGCAGCTGGATCGGTATTCTCATCACCCAGATTGCCTTGCAATAAACGTGGCTGTCAGAGCAAAAGTTGTTATTAGTTTCAGTTTTAAGCATTGACCATAAGGGAAGCACTATACCCATACTTACCTTGTCATTTATGAGCTTCGTCAGCTGCTGATGCAAACTCTCAATATCGCTACGATAGTCCTCGTTGTGGCGACACATCTGCGCCGATGCAGTAATGGCATCATGTAAATTATTCTTCAAGAAAGTCGACTCCAAACGGGTATCGTCTCTCAGACCGTTCATTTCCGCCAGCGGCTTACGCTGACTAGGATCCTCGATGGTATCATTGATGCCAATACGTGGTGCCATGGTCAGGCAAGAGCTGGGCAAGAACATAGGCACCTGCGAAGCCTTAAGGAACTCGAAGCTCAGGAGCTGTCCAATTGTGGGTCGGCTCTCCGGGTTGGGTTGCAACATCGCAATGACCATGTCCGCCGCCGGTTTTCTTAAGTAGCTCGGCACACGATACTCGCATTTCTTGATTTTCGAGTAGGTATCCTTCAATGTTTTCGTCTCGAATGGCGGCTGACCGACCAACAGTGTGTACATGACGCAGCCAATCGACCAGATGTCCACTTCGAAGGAGTGGCCCTTCTTGGTCAGAATCTCTGGTGCAATATAGTTGGGAGTGCCGCAGAGCGTCTTCTTGCGTTCGCCCTCGTATTCAATACGAGTTGCCAGTCCAAAATCTCCGATCTTCACATGCAACATATCATTCAGAAACAGATTGCCCAGCTTAAGATCACGATGAATGATGCGATTGTCGTGCAGATACTTGACACCCTGTATTATCTGGTATATGTAATAGCGGGTTTCGAACTCAGTAATACTTTTACGGCGTTTGTGCAACTCCATCATCGACTGCAAACCAAAAACATGTGGAGATTAATAAACTTTTACATATGCTAAGGTAATTCCTTATATTTTATATATTTGAATACTAACGCGCTTTTTGCACAGCTCCAGCACAATGTAGATGTTCTGCACATCTTCAAAATAGCTGTGAAATTTGACAATGTTTGGATGATTAAGGCTGCGGTGTATGGTTATTTCCTGTGCCGTCTTCTCTTTTTGGTTGTGCTTTATCATAAGTTTCTTAGACACAATTTTGCCGGCAAAGACATCGTCTGTTTCCACATCGATAATCTCGTAACATTTGGCAAAGCCGCCCTGTGAAAAGAAATTTATTTTATACAGACATATATATATGTAAATAAATGTATAATATTCATACATAAATGCATGTGCATACATGCATACATACATACATTTGTGAGTTGTACGCGCCAAAAGAACCAACTGGTTGTTTTAGCGTGTTTGGCAACACTACTAGTGCGTGCGCTCCCTTACACACACACACACACACATGCAGAACAACACAGTCCCGCACACACGCACGCACGCACACTCACACATACATAACTGCATACCGCGAAAACAACAACAGGAATTAAATGTCCAAGCAAGGCGACAGCGCAGCTGCATAAATCTGCGCCCAGCCTTGGCAAGATCCTCAAATTCACAATATACAGAACCAACATGGTTAGCACTTACCTTGCCAAAAAAGCGCATACGCTTGTAGGTCTTGCGATTATTCGAGTCAAACAGACGATCGGGTATATCCGTACTCTTGTCCTCAGGCTTTGCGGCCATTTTTCTCGGTATGTCTTTCTTGGTTTGGCTCGTTTAGATGAAGGTTTTTTTTTTTTATTTTTGCTCGCCTTGTTGCTTCCTTTATTTTCTCACACTAAGCTCATCAAATAACTGTGCACGGCACGCAAATGGAATATTAAATATATTTTAGACTATGTTAACAAATCGACACCAACAATGTTCTGAACGCACAAGACCCAGAGCGACACGAATTACTGGCACAAAGCGGAGAACGCGCCGAAACAGTTTATTTTATTTGAATGCCAGTTTGAGTAGTTCGTCAGCGTCACTACATCACAAACGATAACACATTTTAGGCAGCCCTGTTTAAACAGTGCTAGAAAATAATTAAAAAACGCACATGTTGACGTTGAAATTTGAATTTAAGTGTTCTCAACCATAAGAATTAAATAAATTAAGATTTATACAAATTTACCATAGTGTAAGCTATAAACTCAATAGCTACTACATTTTGTACCATGATAAATCCAAATTTAAGATTTTCCAAATACCAATATTCTACTTATCTACAACTCCAAAGATAATACCAAATCTTGAAACAGCTGGTCTCATGCTCAGGCAATAAGCCGATTGATCTGGCAACACCATGCTTGATAAGAGGTTGAACCTGTTTTATTAATATGTGTATGTATGTATTGAACAGTTTTTCAAAATCAGCATGCTTTATATATTATCTTTAGACGTTGGTAGATGAGATGTCTACATATGAATATCGAAGATCCAGACGAATTACGATTGTAGTCTTGTTCTAACTGAATACCATAGTAACCAGTTGCGTGAAAGACTTCCATTCTATGCTAATAATATTTTGCGTGTAGACGTCACATTTTCAGCATACCCGCAAATTAAAAAGTGTGACCTTATTCGCTTGGCCCGCTTGACCCGCCTTTTTTAAATCGCAGTCATAGAATACGTTTAGTTATGGTTTACGTTTAGTTACTTTGTTTAAGCTAATCGAAACTATTCATAATTATCTGGCGAGTAAACTTAAAAAGATATTTGCAAGCCTGCGCAGGCGATAGCTTTTTAGTTGTTAGGGACTTTGGGTACCTAGACATAACTAATATTTGAAATCAAATGAAAATTTGATAACAATCAATATATCGTTAGTCACACAAACCTAATCGCATTCTAGTTTATTCGCGTTTTTCTTTACTTCTTAGTTCAGATTTTCGTTAAATATTCTCTTACTAGTTTGGACTATGCCATTTTTACATCTATTCATAATAAGTTTGTCGTATTATATAATGTTTGCTGTTCTTAGTTTATCTTTCTGCTGCTGTTGGGGTTTCCAAGGTTTAGCTGCTATTTCGAGGATTGAAAAGTTCCTTTGTCTTAAAACTGTTGCCCATTTGTTGTTTCGGTGATGCCTTAAAAGTAACACTTTATGCAGTTTGTTTTTAAATGTTGTTTACAATTAAATTATTACATTAAATATATTAATATATATATATCAATAGTGTAGTTTTATAGTTGGTTTGTTTTGCCAGTTTTACGCAGTCTCAAGTGCCTTGTGTCTCTTTCGTGGTGTACGTATGTTTGTGTGTGTTGAGTTAGCGCGTGTAATGGGGGCTCTGTGTGAGTTCGTATGGGTGTGTCTTCCGCTGGTCTCCTCGTGGACACTACTGAATTTCTAAAGTTTAACTAGAAGTATGCGATCCAGGCACTCTCAGCTGGATCCCGAACTGACAATGACTAAGCCACGTTGCAAACGCAGCCACTCAACAAACTCGTCCAGCATAACGGGCCCTGAAATGGATGTGGTTGAATCTTTTTATTTGTTTCATAAACCCAGCGGCAGCAGCAGCTACTTACAAGCGCCATCAATATCATAGTTTGATAAATCAATACAGATGGTGCGCGAGAACTCGAGTATGTTGCACCATTGATCCTTATTGATAACCTTGTACTTGGACTGTTCTAGGAATTGTGCAAATTGTGGATACAATGTCCAATGCTTGCCCAGAAGCAGCTGCAGCATCGCCTTAGCCGTCACAATATCCATGCTTCGCTGATCCGAATCCTGCACAATAAAAGTCATCTTAGTGTGCATATTTAATCAAAAATATAGTTAGTTGGCGGCGCTTACCTTGGCAAAGTCATAGGCATATCGATATATACTCTTGAACGAGTTGGGATCGTTGAGTATGCTGCGCAGATAGTCCAATTTCACAACCATTTTCGCTGTCGAATCACATTCAAGATCTGTGAGACCCTTTAACCACTCCTGCTGACTGAAGAAACCCATCTGCGTAGCGCCCATTTTGTAGGCGAGCACAAGCATCACAATATTCTCGGGCTCAACGCCAATATCTTCACAGAATTTCTCCATGCCATCGGGACCTATAACAAAATGCAGGTGCTCCGCATTAACAGGTTGCACTTTAAGGTACTTATTAACAACACGAAAGGTAATACTCACCCAGCGTCTCAGGCTCATCAGGCGTGGTGTATTCATGGAACCAGGCGAGACAGCGTTTCTGGCTAAAGCCATCTTCTGCTCTGATATGGCGTCTAGGAAAATAATTAACAAATATGTTGCGTTAAATGTGAAATATTCTTTTTTTGTTGCATTTTTAAAACAATATTTAACGCACTTAGCCATATAACATTTAACCACATATATTTTTGTGATTTTATTTAACTAATTAATTTTTTTTTTTGCCTGAGCATTTGCCCCGCTGTTGACGTATTATTCAATGTTTTTGTTTTTGAGTGTTTGCCACCTAAAAATAGCAAATAGTCAACTCAACAGGGATGCCAATGCCAAGAGCCCAAGACAATTCGAAGTGAGCATACATATACGAAATGACGGCCACCTTTACAGATACAGCTGTGACACTGACAAAAACGGGGTGGCAAACGGTTGTCATTAATAAATATGCATATTTCGTATAGTCTAGTATTTGATATGCATGCGCTATCATTTGAATTTCTTACTCATATTCATGGCATATTAAATTGAGAGTAAGAGGTACTTTAAACTGCACTTATTACATAATTAAATTACATTACATTCCTTAAAAAGCTTGTAGATAAATATCAGGTATTTCATTTTTGGGGCGACGATGCGATTTCTACTTCCATATAGACCATACGTTTTTCCTTTATGATAGTGACCAATAGAAAATCATTCATTCAACCAACAATAGACAAATTTAGTCGAAATGTCTTGAAAACTGCGGCCTGCGCGATATAAAAGCGCACAGTTTCAAGAAAGTTTCATTAAGAGTGCTTTGATCTTGAGTTTAGTATTCGAAGAAGGAGGCAGACGGACAATCAACGAAACGAGCCTGGCGCTCTACTACTTATACTGATCTATATGAATTCTTTATGGGGTCGTAGATCTTCTCTTACAACTGAAACTTTTCATGGCACAGTTCATCCATTCTATTCAATCCCTCTTCTCAGCAATATTAAATTAAGTTTAAAATTCAGAAAAGCAAGCAAACGAATAATTCAAATAAGAGACGACTAGGCATGCAGATACTGTCAGGATAAACATTAAACATTTGGTTTTGGGTGCGGCTTTCAAAAAATTGAATCTATTTTGCGATTTCATGAACAAAATGATTGGCTCTTTCTGCATTCCATTAGAAATAGTAGTCCCTTATAATAAATGTATGTTAAAAAGTCTCCTATTCGACTGTTGTACGAATAAAAGTGCCCATCACTGTTCAGTTTTCGTTGCCCGACACACTTAACGGACGTTTCAAACAGAGTTCAGGCGACTGCGCGCTGGAATGTCAACTGAAAGCGAGAGTTCAATGAAATTCGTGTCAAAATATGTCGAGTCGAGAGTCGAAAGTCGAGAATCGTCAGATAGGAGCCGAATGGTATGTGACATTACAACGAGTTCAGGGCGCAGTTGTGCGCAGGACTTCAAGCGAGACACACGTCGTTATAGCCCTCGAAGCAAGGATTACTACGTAAAAATTAAAATCAAGGCATTAGTTAATAAACAGTAGAAAAATGCTTAACTTTCATGGGAACAACGTTCATTTGAACTATGCCAAGAGATGTGTATTCAACATTATCTGTTGCATGCTGCTGGCGTTACTTGGTAAGTTCCCAAACCAGCCCGTTGCCTAAGGGATGGCCCGACTGACGCAAAGGGGTGGGGTGGCAAAAAATCAATAGCACGGAGGACATCACAATGCTGACACACTGACTCGTAGGAAGAAAAAACCCATTTAAGCTGAAACCCTTTCTTTTTCGTAGCGGACAGCGCTGAAGGACTTCAGCTGAGCGCCTTTACAACGAAAACGCCGAGGGTCTCCAAATACTCCACCAAGTCGCCATCAGTAAGTGTTGGCTCTGTCTGATCCGAACCCTTGCAGTTCACTTCTAGTGTCAATTGTTGCCGTTGCAGGCATCCTCGATGAACCATGATGCGACTACTTCGATTTATCGCTTCAATGCCACAAACGGCATCACCTGCATTCTGATGCAGGTGGACGGATTGATAAGTATCCGGTATCGAAACAAGCTGAACGAGGATGTCGAGGCCGATCTGTATATGCCGGACAGTCCGCAGCTGAGCGGTGAATGCGTCGAATCCAATTTGGAAATATTGACCATGGACTTCAAGGGATTTACGCTGTCGATGACATTCAAAAAGGTAACGAGCTGTGCGCTACGCTTTTGGTGGATGGTTGCGTCAGCTGGCGAATAAGGTCAGAGGTTAACACTAAAGTTCATTTCTGCTCTGCATGCCACCACACACACACACACAGTCGTCGGGCGGCGAAGGCTGGTACATCAACCTCTTTGAGCTGACATACTCGTCATCGAATTCCCTATTCGAACATCCCGACCGTCCCAATTTGAATGTGAAGCTAACCTCGCCAGCGCAGACGCCCATGTACTTCCCAACGCCCGTGGGCAAGTCCTATCTCTGTGACAAGGAGCAGACCGTCATATTGTATGCACCCCACGATTCTGGCGACCAGTCTGGCCATATTGCACGCCTCTACCTGCGCGACCTGCACATGCAGAGCTTCATGTTCAAGGAGAGCGGCAAGTGGGGCCCCTCCTTTCACTGTAGTGCCACCGGTTCCTATCGCGACGAGACGGCACCTCTGGCCGTTGGCACTGCGCTGGCCATTGCGGTGCTCTTGACCATTTCCGGCTACGGCGGGTGGCGGTAAGTAAACCCGTTCACAACTATCGGTCAAGACAATTTCCAATTGGAACAAACAAAAAATGCAATTGCTGTCAGATTGATTCGTTTCAAAATAACCGATTCAATCGGTTTGCTGTTCGTTTTTTTTTTTTTTGAATAGCAAAATTTCGAATGCAATCAAAGCGAATAGCTTTAAATTTACAAAATTCTACTCTTTGCAGGTATTTCAAAGTCAAGAAGGTTCAATACGGTTCGATGGAGTAAACAGAATATTTATGTACCGGCATTTTTTTCGTTTTTCAATTACTTTCAAATCAAATCTTTGTACCGTTATTTGTTGCATATCAGTATTGAGGTATTTAAATAATGAATATAAAATTATGTTCTCAAACCTAAACGAAATTGTGAGCGAGCCTCACAGAAATATAACTGTTACAAAGGAATGAACAAAAACCTATTAAAGAAATACATATACATAAATATATGAGAATTGCAAATGTCTTCCATATAGTTAATATAATTAAAATGTTAATTATTAAACATATTATAAATACATTAATATGCATTTTTAAATATATGCGAGTATATATTTACACAACTAACCAAAAAAACAAACAACAAAAACTATCTAAATTTAAAACGTTAAATTCAAAAGCATTTTGTGTATTTGTTAGAGTTATACACAATATAAAAAGTAGCCCGAAATTCCATTTTGAAATATATAAAACTGACAAGATAAATTTAAGCACTAGCCAAACGAGGCCTAGTAAGAGTTCCCTAGTCCAAATAGAAAGATGTCCTGTACCCAAATACTAAATATATATATACATATATATATCAACAAGTCACACATTCATATATAAGCAAGCTTTTCCCTCAGCCTTGATCAATAAAATTGTTAATAAATAATGCAATTTTAGCAAGAGATGAGGGTACAAACTTTAAGTGTGCCAAAAATAAAAATCTATCCTAAAATGCCGACTAAACAAGAGCTCGAATTCAAAGTAAAATATTGAGAGATAGAAGATATATTAAAAAAAAAATGAACAAAGCTTTTATAGAACCAAAGAAACCATTCATCCGCCTGATAAATGCATTTGCATGAAATAAATAAACTCTTCTGCAGACCCATTAAATGGGTACAGGGTATAATATTAATAGATAACTATTTTTTTCATGTAACAAATCAAAATTAATGTAATCGCATTGCATCTCTAATACACATATGCACATATCTAAAATTATGTATTGTCAATTTCGTATCGTATCGATCGTTAATTTTTTTGTTCAAAAATTCTCTTCTTTAAATTATTAACTAAATCCATAATACTCCTCAAATTCATTTCAATTTAAATGCACCTCTTTTCACATAAGATCAAAAAACATTTAAGCGAACTAATAAATGAATTCCAAATATATAATGTTTCAATTAGCGTTTGAGCATCTACCAAAGAGAATGCTATGTGTGTGTATGGTACTATATTATATAGTATACTATATCATATCGCAATATATCATATATGCTACTATATCATATAAGTAACATAATTATTCCCTTAGGTCCATCTAAAATTAACATAAATTTATCCAACTTATAATTTAGCCCATACTTCCTTTTCTTACATATGTTGTACAGAGACTATATTATATATAAACAGAAAAACGGACTTGGCTGCATCGACTTGGCTGTTCGCACTGTTCAAGTAGATATATTCTGCGGACTACTATATCAACGCTAAATATAACGCTAATTATAAAAGCTATACGGAGACTCCACATATTCAATACAGGACCTCGAAGTGCAGCCAAAGTTCGAGCTTATTTGAATTCATCCAAATTTCACCACGTTTCCACGAGATCAATAAGAATCGATAATGATCGCCTGATTTTTTACCATATCTTGGGGCTTACAAGATCTAGACACGTCATATTTGGTAAGTAGGATTCGAATTCTAAACAAATATATAGATTTGGGATTACTTCAGTAGAGCCTTATGCTTAAGTGCTTACACATATTTTTATGTCAAATTATGATAATGGAAACTTCATAACGATCGGACTATAAACACCGAATCTACTCAAGAAAGCAAGAAAGAAAGCTAAGGGGGGAAGCCACAGTGAAAACAGCGAAGCTCGTGGCATGCGTGCTTTTAGATGTTTGTATTAAATATATGTTAAATTGTTGTATCGACAGGTTAGAGTTGAGGTCAGGGCATAAGAGGGCACTCCTGACTAGGCCAATTTGACTTGTTAATGACGAATTGTGAAATTGACAGAGAACCTTTTATTTTGACATGTATAGCGCATTTAAGGAGGCATCTCCAACCCCTAAAATCAACGTAATTACATCGGGGTGATTGGTTAAAGGCATGTCCCTTTGTACTAGGCTAAAGGCCATGTTGACTAAATTTAGCACAGATTATTTTTGCAGCCGGCTATACATATATCTAAATTGCGAGAGACAGACATGTTTGTATGAGGAACGGCCAGACAGAAATCGGATTATTGATTATTTTTCAAGATGTCTTGAACTGAAACCTGAATCATGATTGTAGAAAACTGATTTAGTATACTTTTGGCATATTGAATGAGATTAACATGTATCATCGAGTTTCATATAATAAATTTATATACATTCACAGGTCAGAGACGATGTTAGAATCTACAGCTTGAAAAGAAGCCGTTTACATGCTTTATCGAGATAAAACTGATGAAAAGTTTATAAGGAAGAAATAAGAATACATCTCCGTTCCTAAAACTAAATATTTATCGGTTATCAAATCCAGTACTTGCAGCAGATTTGAAGAGCTGAAGGTAACTATACATTTTTAAAAAAGAAATAACTGCTATCTAGAGCACGCTGCACATTGAATACCCTTGCAAATATGGCATAGAACACCCTAAGATTATTCTTTATGCCCTGAAAACCCAGTTTTACTGCAGTTCGAGAACCTTCTAATTAGGCATTGCGGACCGGTTTTGGAGTACTCGGTTCTATCTCTATCTCTAATTCTTTAAAGTGAGTTTTATATTGACTATCCATAAGCGATTTAAGTTTATTAATTGGATTGTATCGATTTGTCGGTATACGGAGTAAAAATGAATATGTTGGCTTGGTGTGGATATATGGATATATACATATATATATTGGATATATGTGCAAACTGATAAAGTTGGAATTGCTTTGATTTTCCATAAACAAACATCAGTTAAATTTTTCGACCTTTGGCTTGATTTTACACAATAACGATTTTTCCAGCATTTTTCAATGAAGTGTTTTTTAGCGCGATCAAACTCAATGTGAATATTTTTCATTCATAAGCTGGAATATCAGAGAAGACGATCGGATGCCAGGGAAGTTGCACTTGCGTGTGAAATTGTCAAAAGCCTGTCTTAACTTGCAGTTTTATGAAAAAAACTCTTACGGCCAAGACAAGCCTCCTAATATATATATGTATATGGTCAACTTAGTGTGCCAATCATGCATTCTTTAGATAGTGTATTTTTGGCTCACCTGCTGCTTTGCTGTGTTGCAATGCTTGTGTAGCTGGTGCGTGCTCTTTTTGATTGGCCATCCATATTGTCACCGATTTCTGGAGCTCGACGTTTACCTCGTGGCATGACTTGTGTGATCTGATTGCAAAAGTTGGCCTGTCTTACCAAAGTAAAATCGGCAAAATTTGGCTTTGGCTTATATAACTATATTTATTACACGAATTTGCAGCTGTGGATCGCAGAAAATTAAACTATTATTTATTAAACATAAATTACTGCCCATCATTTATATGCACTCACCACTGTCCCTCAGCGCAACGCAGTCATTGAAACATCATATCACGGCGACATTGACTTACATATGTAGCTGCAATACGTAAATGAAAGTTATAAAACAACAAATTTATGTATGTTCAAATTACGTATGTATATTTAATTTTGCAGAGTCGACTATATATTTGTTAAATTTGCTATTTATTTATTCTCAGTCAGTTGGATAGGTGTGTCCTGGTCAAACGCTGTTGAGCAAAAGATACAATACCCGGCAAAAAGTACCTCGCCCCTCTATCTCAGATATTTCCACAGCTGAGAAATTACACGGGATGCACAGGACACCGAAGACATACACACATACACATACACATACACATACACATGCATATAAATACATGTAAGTAGTTATATATGTATTTTTCTATACGTATGTATACGTATCGGTAAATTGTGCGTTAATGCATCTATGCGCACTTTATAATTCTGTTTATACACATTTACAAATAGACGTGTATGTCTGCATGTATTTTGCACTTAAAAGAATTTCGTGCGTATGCGAATTTGTAGAAAACACTTTCATGTTGAAAACACCGGCAGCAGATTGGCCAAGAACTGGGCATGGACGTGGTATCGGTATCGTGGTCGTTTCCCCATCTCAACCACAAGCAGCAGCAGCTGATATGCCAGCAGCAGACGGCAGCCTGCGCGTGCTCGTCTTTTTACGTCGCCAAATGCGAGACTGGCTCGGTTCGCACAATGTTCAGTACGCTTTGAATCACTTATTGTTCTAAATAGACTGCTTAGCAGTTTGTTTAACTCGAATATGCACACACATTTAATATTTACCATTTATATGTTGATACAATTTACAAGCCTACAGGACAGGTCTTGGCATCAATGATATCGATATTTTGATGCCGATGCCGATGCGGCGATGTTTTCAATGTTTTTTTTTTTTGTATATATTACGGCATATCATCGCAGAACTTTCAACGGTAGCCCTGAAGTAAATGTTGTATGACTTTACGCTTATCGATAGTAAGACTTTGCGACCGTCGATTATATTATTAATCAGCAATCAATTTAAATTGACATTGGTTTTAAGGATTTAAACAATAAGTGAAGTTTGTTACGGCTCTGATATTTGGTATATTGCGTAGAGGTGATCAATGCAAATCGTAAGAACTAGGAAGTCGAAATGATTACTGTAAACTACAGTGTAGAAACATATCGAAAAAAGGTTATATGTAACTTTATTGTTTACCATCTAATCGGGTTTATGTTTAAAGATCTGTGCTATCATTTTTCGAAAAATTCATCCCTTGATGGAAATGAGCGTCAAAGGGTGGCGGGAAAGCCGCAGCCCTGGTAGTTTTAAACTCTTCAAATATCCTCTTGAAAATGCATTTGATACATTTTTTCCTGATTATACTTTACTGAATTAAATTCAAATTATGCGTTGAATACTCGTAACAGAACTTAGGCTTGTATTTTACAGCATAGATCGATTACAGCTTACGTTACAGCCGATTACAGCCGCGTAAACTTTAACAGAGTTGGTTAAGTTAAAGTGAAAAGAATGCATCTATTTTTTACCGTTGCAGTTGCGACTAACTTTGACTTTATTAGTGACAAGTATATATTTTTAGAATAATCGCTATTTAAATACATGGACAACTTATCTGGTAATGTGAAATATATTTACAATTACA